GGTCTTCTGAAAGAACAGTCAGTGTTCTTAACTGTTGAGCCATCTCTCCAGCCCCAAGTGTTAATTTTCTTTACTTCTTAACAGATGAAGGATATTGTCCTTAGGACTTTCAGAAATAGGAGGTGAGATCCAGGTGCTAAAAGGAGGATAAACACTGGATGGCAGAGAGGGGACAGGGCTGACCAGGGGACACAGCCCAGCTCCCTCCCTTTCAGCCTCTATACCATCTCCTTGTCTCTGAGGGAGGCTGAATGATCCCAAATTTCCAGGAGACAGAGGGGACATCTCTTTTCACTGTACATTGTTCTAAACGTGTTCTTCTAGGACTAGCCTGGGGAAATGGAGACATGGCACAGGAAGCTGCCATCAAATAAAGCTAGACAACAACAAAACACTTACTGGTTTTCCCACAGCTCTGGCAGATTTCACGGACCATTCTTTTTTTCACATCCACATTCTGTAATTTATTAAAGTCTTGAAAAGTGATTATTTTTTCAGAATTGCCTGTGATGGGCAGAAGCTGTTCCTTAAAAACATCTCCTATGCCCAAAGCCAGGATACAAATTCCAAGGTCTTTCAGGGTTTTGACCGCACCTGCCACATCATAGCGGGGATAGCCAGATGTGATGACAACCAACGTTTGAGGGATTCCAGCGTTTCTTCTCCCGCCAGCAGATGGGTGAAACATACGGCTCACGTGTTTAAGGGCAAAGTCAATGCGAGGAGACCCCTTGCTCTTGGCCACAGTCCGAACCTGTGACTTCCACTGGGTCTTGTTCAAAGAATTTTCCAACTCAATAATTTCCTGATAGCGGCTCCCATACTGAGCCATCCCGATTTTCATTCTCTGAGACTGGATGTCAAAATTATCAATTAAGTCTGACAAGAAAGTTGTCATGGTAACAAACTCTGAATCGGACACCATATCAGAGCCATCACAAAGGAAAATCACATCGGCCTCCCGAAGGTTACACACTGTAATAGGAAAAAAAAAAAAAAAAGAATAAATCATTTCCTTCATGCATCATTCTAAATTGTTCCTTTACTAAAATACTTCAATTGCTTTACTAAATATCAAAATTGCTTTACATTAATAGCAAATTGAGATAAGTTAACAGAAGAGAGACTCACCAATTGAGCCTCAAAGAGAAGGAAAAAGGTATCAGGAAAGGGAACAATAACACAAATTTTTCAAATTGTGACTGTTTGCACGATTCACTGGAAAAGACACACAAGCTCCTTCAGGGTCTGCCTCCCTTCAGAGATGCTTTGCAGAGGTCATGGCCTGCCCGGGGTGGTGCATCCCCATTTTCACTTCATCCCAGCCATCTTCATCTGATGGTGGATATCTCTCCTGGGGAGTACCTGCTCCAGACCTGCTAGGTTTTCCACTTCATTGAGTATACATCACTGCTCAACTCCTCTGAAGTGATGCACTGTGTTCGCGTAGGTGCACAAGGATGTGTGGAAATTTCAGCGTGACGAGGAAGATGTGAAAAGAGCAGGGACAGGAGATGAGGCTGAAGAGGTGGGTTAGATGGAGGCCAGGCGTTTGGGAGTCATTCCACTGAGAAAGGGAAAGCTCTGAAGCATCAGAGTCAGTAGTGTGCGAGTCCAGTGTGTGAGAGAAACATCATGAACTGACAAGCGTTGGGAAGAGGGCAAATGGAAGGGAGACAAGGCTGAGCCGTGAGAGCCTGGGGACCAGACAGCACAGGCAAACAACTGAGTGGCCCTCTTACCTTAGGAACAATAATATTTTTTTCCTTAAATAAAGATGATACCCTTATTTAATATCTGAAGCTAAGGGCTGGGGAGATGGCTCGGTCAATGAAATGCTTGCAGTGCAAGCTTGGGGACCTGAGATCCCCAGCACCCACATAAAACCCTCAGATACCTGTAACCCCAGTGCTGAGGAGGCAGAGAGAAGCTTCCCCGGAGCTTGCTGGCCAGCTAGGCTGGTCTTGCTAAATTGGAGAAATCCAGGTTTAATGAGAGACCTGTGTGCAAAAAATGAGGAGAGCAATAGAGGAAGATACCAGACGATGGTTTCTGACCTCCTCGTCTCCGCAGTTGATTGCATACACACACATGAATGTGCATGAGTGCATACCACGCATACACACGCACACACACACATGCGAGTGTGCAAACATACACACATGCACACACACACACACACACACACACACACACCAAAAAATATCTGAAGCTAAGAAGATGAGCTTGCTTCTTATCAAAGAATGTGAAGCCGTGGTGGTCAGGTACTGCTTCATTTACAGAGGAAATGTTGATCGGTGCTGGATTTTAGAGAACTGATGACAGAGATGGGAGTTAATGCTAGTCTTAGAAACATGATTTGTTTTGACTACAAGAGAAGGAAGGAAAGAAGGGAGGAAGGAAGGGGAAAAGGAGGAAGGAGAGAGGGAGGCAACTTCACTGATAACTAGTCTGTCAAATTTGGTGGACTGGTCCAACATAGACACATACATACGTGTACAACATATACATATATATGCATATACAGAACATACATGGCAGGCTTCAGACCTTCCTCAAAGGCACAGCAGCCCTCCCAAGATGACTGGTCAATGTCTGCTGCCTTTGAGACCAACTGGCAAATCTCATGTTTTCCCATAACCTGCCCAGCCCAATGGGAGTCCATATACTCAGCTTCCTCCCTCCCCTCCCAGGTCCCTTTATCCCACGTTCAAATTCCCCAAGCTTTCCACTGCACTAGGGATTCTTAACCCAGGAAGACACATTAGACCACTTGAACTTCTCATAACCTGTAGGATGACTGAAATGCCAATTAGAGGGCCCTGAATCTTTGAAGACAAAAGTCTGTCTGTTCAAACCAGTCAGACTGGAATCTGACCTCAATATGGTGCCTGAGGTAAACCTACTACTGTTTTTTTTTTTGGCTAAATGGACATAGTATCAAACAGCCCTCTAAATGCATCTCTCTATACACATAGATTAGTGCAGCTCTCAGACCTCATCAGAGAAGTTTCTTTGTGCACTGGATGGTGGTTAATGCAGAAGCACACAACTGTCAAAATGCAGAGGATAGGCTTCAGAGGAAAGCTCACCCACAAATGTCACATCCCACAAAGCTCAGGGACCATCATGAAAGAGAAGTTGGAAAGATTGTAAAAGTCAGAGGACAGGAGCAAAACTGTCTTCTGGACGTGACAGGACCCCTACACTCATACACACAATAGCTGTGTGTGGCAGTTTGAAGGAGAATGATCCCATAGGTTCCAAGTATTTGGATATTTTGTCCCCGATTGGTGACAGTGCTTTGGGAGGTCCTAGAAGTTGTGGCCTTGCTGGAGGAAGCACATCACCAGGGGCAAGATTGCTTTGTTGGATCTCCAGTCACTCTCTGCTTCTTGCACCTGCTTGCAGATGTGAGAACATAGGTTTCTGCTCCTGCTTCAGCCACCTCCTACCATCATGCCTCCCTGCCATGATGGACTCTAACCCCACTAGAACCTGGAGCCATAAGTTCAAATAAACTCTTCTTCCTAAAAGTTCCCTTGGTCATGGTGTTTTATCACAGCAACAGAAAAGTAACTAATACACTGTGGTTGCCTGCACAGGAATTGTACAAGATTAGGCCAGTCAACATCCTAACATGGAGTGGGGAGGGGCTCATGAAACCCCATTCCTAATTGAGAAGCTATTTGCAGTTAGTGGCTTCTGGAAGAGTGGAATCAGGTTTCTTTACCGTGGCCCCATGGTAGGTTGACCACACTCCTACACCCATGAGTATATGGGCAGCACAAATTGGATTTGGTAGCTTATTAGAAGAGGACATGATGTTGGGGGAGTGGGGAAATGGGAGGTGAGTCCAGAAGGAATTAGGGGGAGAAGTGGGGGGGTGGGATAAATATGATAAAAATGCATCATATAAAATTCTCAAAGAATTAATAAAATATTAGATAATGACAACAACTTACCCTCCTGTGCATTGTTGCACATACTTTCTTGCAGAGGCAGGTAAATATCCTTCAGTTTGTCAAAATTGTCTACGAGGATAGTGTTTTCTTTATTCCCTGCCATAATCTCCAGTTCCTCTTGGTTGGCATCTCTTACACCCACTGCGAAGATGATGATGCCTTTGTTCCTTAGTTTCAGTGTTGTGACATTGAGTTCATCTCTGTCGTGGGACACACCATCTGTGATAACAATCAGCATCTGCCTCACATTTTGCTTCAGGCGGCTGCCGTGCTCTTCTGTGAACAGGATGTCTGAGTGCTTGAGAGCCTTGGCAGTGTAGGTCCTCCCTGAGGTGTCCCTGCGCCTCCTCAGGTGCTCAATGATGGCTGATCTGCTTGAGTACGTGTTCAGATAGAAGAGAATCTCAGGACTGTCAGAGTACTTGAGAGCTCCAAACTGAACGCGGTCCTTGCCAACATCTGCCTTCTTCACCAAGTGGATGGTGAGGTTAATCATGCTTTCTTGCTGTTGTGAACTTATGCTACCGGAATGATCCAGCACGAACACAATGTCTAGCAGCTCAATCCTCTTGCAGTCTGAAAAAAAAAATTTTAAAGAGGGACTCAAATTCTGCCATGCCTCCACACAATGAGAAGAAAAGTGTTCAGCTTTTGGCATGAGTTTTCTAGATGTCTGATCCTCTGCCTCAGTTCTTTTCCCATTTTCTACATGCATGTACATATGTGCAAAGTATGTGCAGTGTGATGCATGGTGTGTGCGAGCATGTGGAGTCCACACATCAACCTCGGGTTTCATTCCTCAGAACACTGTCCACCTTGGTTTTTGAGACAGGGTCTTTCACTGGCCAGGGACAGTAGGCTACACTGGCTGATCAGTGAGACCCAAGGATCTGCCTATCTCTACCTACCCAGTACTGGGATTAGAGGCACACACCACCACATCTGGCTTTTTAGTTTTTTTCACTTTGGCTGTGAGGATCAAACACTGATCCTCACACCTGAGTGGCAAGCATGCTACCAACTGAGATTTCTCCCCGGCCATCTCACTTAGTTCTTAGAGGTGCTTGCTGTCATTTACAGAGAAAGAATCCGAAGCTCAGTGAAGGGTAACTTGCCTAGACTGATAGAATGTGTAACTTGCAGGAGAGCCATAAGCTTCCTTAAAGGAAGCCATAAAGGCATAAATTCCTCAAAGTAACCAAATGGCCCAAATTTGCAGCTTGGCCTTTGATCAGGCCTTATCAACTAGTCACTTCCCTGGCTAACTAGAGACTGGTTACAGGGGCGACTTAACTCTTGCTGTGCCATAGCCTGCTCTGGTGGCCTGGCCTTATCAACTGACCACCATAGAGACTGTCTGCAGAGTCAACCTGCTGTGCCAAAACACAATGTGCCTGCTCACCCTGAGAAAACATCCTCAGTCGGGAGACCCTCAAGGGCACTGACATCTAACACCTGACAGCTAACACTGAGCAGATTCACCTGACACCTGACACCAGGCAGATTCCTGAAGCTTTGGTCAGCAGAGTTCGTATATAAAAACTATGCTTACTCTTACTGATGTCTGTATCCTCGAACAAGACACTGGCCCTTTGCTATGTTCCTTTGAATAAAAGGAATATATTCCTTGCCTGTTGCAGGTCTGGCTCAGGTTCTTATTTCTTAACTTTAAACTCCTTCTCTTTTTCTGCTCTCCTAAATCTAACATAGACCATGATTCTAAAGGGTGCATGTGCTTTTATCTACAGTCAGAACTTCAGAACTGGTGAGCCTTACACCACACCACTCTCCTGCTGCATCACCTCAGGTGATGTGACACCGTTGCTAAGCAGGCTTTCAACAGGAAAGTAATGTCAAAAGCTAGGTCAGCCTAAATAGTCTTGGGTGCAGAACCTTACCAGGGGTTACGCCCTTAAGAAAAACTGGCTCTTCCCTGCCCAACATCTATCAAATGCTAATAGATCTTCAGCTAAGGGTGAGGGTTGGAGGGGAAGAACAGGAAGTTGGGTGGGTAGGACGATGGGAGTGGATCTGGCAGAAGTTGGGAAAGGGGATGACTGTAATCAAAATATACTGTATGAAATTCTCAAAGAATTAATACAAATATTTTTAAATTTGAAAAAAGGTCGGTATAATGGTGAGACATATTAGTGTTTGCCGAATTGACCTGCCATCTTAGAGTTCAGGAGCTCATTATACAACTTGGAGATTTTACTCCACTCCTTCTGGCTCCAGCTGTCTTCTGAGCTTCCAACAGGCAAACCTCACATTCATGAGGGAGCTCCCTACATATTTGTGCTCCATCCTGGCCTCCTGAATTCAAACTCAGTAAAGGAATGAAAGCAAATAGGGGAGGAGCTAAAGTTCTCATCTCCTCTTCCCTGGTCCCAAGCCTTCTTCCATTCTCAAAGATAATCAACCATTCTCTGGTGGGTTTTCAAAACAGGATCAAGGTCTTATTTCCTTGCTTTAATAAACCCAGGCACATGTCTTACAAAAGCTCCCTTTCTTCACTTTCCATCAGCTTGCTTTACCTCCAATCCTTATTTCTGGCAATGAGGCTCTCAAATTTTCAAGTCTTAGATGCTATTGACAAGCTCAAGCAATCACTGTGAAAGCCTGTGGCAACGTCTCCCTGAGACTTGGTGGCTAGTTATGACTTTAAAATATTTTTTGAGTCAGTCTACTATATGAGTTAGCTAAATTTCAGCCTATCCTAAACAAGACACTGCAAACACTATTTATCAAAATGAAAAAAGAGAAATTCCAAAGTTAAAGATCTAGCCTTTCAGTGCACCTCAGCACTGTCGAGTTTTGGAATCACTGCCACCCTCAAAAGAAAAGACTCTGGTCAGGTTGTTATCAAGGTCTTCGTATAATCTTAAGAATGAAACCCAATGACTATTTCTATGTTGCCAAGGGGACGACACACAACAAACTTACTAATGCTTTGATTTTCTCTCTTAGCTGTATCCAAAATAGGTAATTGCTCATGATAGCTTTTAAAATGCATGTATGGACGGATAGCAAGTTCTCGTTCAAGAGAGATTCAGTAGGTAGGATCAGGGCTAGGGATCTAGCTCAGTGGTAGAATTCTTGTCTAGCCTTTGAGAGGTCCTAGGCTCAATCTCTAGCACTAAAAATAAAAATGAGTGGTTCAAACTGATGATTGCTCAATACTTTTTGAAAAGAATTATGAGATAAAAGCAGTGACCTCAAGCAATGAGGGGGAATGTCACATATTAAAAATTCACAAGGCATAGTATATGAGCAGACAAAAACACCTAGTTGACAGAGGTTAAGAAGAAGAATGTGCCTTTCTGGTGGTGCCGACCTCCCTACCAGAACATGCCTCTCACAAAGATCTCCTTCGTCCCTCTCCAGACGAGAAGAGTGAACACAAGAAGTGCCTAATGCAGAGCCCTATTCCTAGTTCACGGATGTGAAGTGCCCAGGATGCTGTAAAAGCACACGGTCTTCGGCCACGCACAAATGATAGTCATGTGTGGATTGCTTCACTATCCTCTGTCGGCCTTCAGGTGGAAAATCAAGGCTTACAGAAGGAGGTTCCTTCAGGAAGAAGCAATGCTAAAAGTATCCCAAATCAAGGTGAGCGAGAAACCACCCCAATAGAAACGTTTTGGATTAAAAGAATAATGGGAAGTAATAAAAATGTGCACTGTGTATTTAAAAAACAAAAGATGCTTTGGTAGAACAGGGCTGCTTAGGATACTGAATTGAACATAACTAAAAGAAGATGAATTTGCACTTCTAATTATTTACTGCTCAACAATGGTTATGCAGAGGCAAGAAACGATTCTAAAAAGTCATTTGAAATGCTGCTGCCCTCCCCACTTTGCATTTGGGGGGATTAAAGTTAGCAATTTTGGTAAAATTCAGAGACCTTTTTTGAAATCTATTTGAATACACAAAAGGCAATATTATTCTGTACAAAACTATTACCAAATTGTTCATCTGCAATGTCCCTGAAAGTTATGGATGTTTTAACATAACATAAGTAAGAAATTATGAAACCAACTAGGTGTCCAAAAACAGAGCAATGAATAAGGAAGATGTAAGTATCTATGCACTGGAATTTTTGGCCATAAGGAAGAATGAAATTATTCCATTCACAGGAAAATGGATTCAACTGAAGATCATATTAAGTAAATGAAGCCAGTCTCAGAAAGACAAATATTCTATTTTCCCTCGTTTGAGCTTCCTAGATACAGGGAGGCGGAGAAATGGCTCAGTGGTTAAGAACACGCTCTGCTCTTGCAGAAGACTGGAGTTTGGTTCCCAGCACCCCTGTCAGGTGGTTCACAACCACTTGTAACTCAGCTCTATGGAATCCAACACCCTCTCCTGGCCTCTGGGGCATGTATACACACACAGATGTACACACATAAAGAAATAACAAAATAAATCTTATAATAATCATGTATGTATGTATAACAAGAGAGAAGTAAAAATGTGCAGAGGGGGGAAGGGACTAAGGGGAGGGGAAAAAGGAAGGGAGAGTCGGGGGCATGAGGGGAAAGTGTTGAACAGACAAGAGGTATAAATAACTGTATGAAAACTTTTAAAATAAATACATTTTAATGGTGTAGATAAGGTCAAAACTTAAGCACTAAAAGAGGCCAAGTCCAGTGTGTAACCTTCCTCATGTACTTTAAATTAATGTCTCACGTCCTTGAGTCTTTACCACACTTACCATGCAGAGCACACACATGAAAGATGAGTTTACTTTCGATTGCCTTCAGGTGATCGAAATTCTCAACGTGGAACACTAGGCTGCTGTCCCCACTGATCTCCTCCAGCTGAGCCCTGTTGGCACCATACACGCCCACGGAGAAGATGGTCACACCTTTGCCCCGAAGAGCAATGGCAGGATTCCTTACTTCATCCTGGGCTTCTCCATCTGTGAGGAGGATGAGAAATTTCCGGACCTGGGTGCGGCCCCCCTTGTGGGGGTCAAAGTATTCATTTACAAAGGTCAGTGCACTTCCGGTCAAAGTGTTTCTATCAATGAGAGACATTCTGTCTATAGCATCAGAAATTTCTTTCTGCGTGAAGTATTTATTAAGCTGGAACTCTTCCTTATTATAATCACTGAACTGGACAACACCAACGTGAGTCTTATTAGCACCAATTTGAAGCTTTGCCAACAGGTTTCTCATGAAGGTTTTCATTGTCTCAAAATTTGCATGTCCTATACTTCCAGAACTATCCACTAAAAACATGATATCAGACTTCATGCCTTCACATCCTATAGGGTGTAAAAAGATCCAAAATTGGTGTGAGTCTCAGAATACACGGAAGCAGTAAGCAATAACAAATGCATTCATTCATATCATTCATTATATTCTTAATGTGTTTAAATACCAAGCCTCAAGTTCAGCATTAAAGATGCAATGGAGATTTTTAAAAAAAAAATGAATCAGAGCCCAAATAACCAATTTCTAGCATTCACTGGACTAACATTTCAGGATTTCAATGTCCAATTTTGGGCTGGAGAAATGACTCGGCAGTTAAGAGCACTGGCTGCTCTTGCAGTGGACCTGGCTTCGGTTCCCAGCACCTACATGGTTGCTAACAACCATCCCAACTCCAGTTCCAGAGGAGCCAATGCCTTCTCTTCTCCACGGGCAATGTCAGGCAATACTCTCATACATATAAAATAAAAATAGTAAAAAATCCAATGTAATCTTCAGGTAGCATTATTTTCTGGGATAATTTTAAGTGATTTGAAAAAGAGGTCAGCATTGGGAATTGGAACCAAAAGTCTTTATGAGGGATTACATACTTTAGTATGTACATATACCCATTCACCATAGACTATTAATTCCTTTATTTACACATAAAATTTGTAGATCGCCTACTGATTGGAAATGGATATACACACATATGCATAGATCCATATGCACATGCATATAAAAGCAACTTCTATAAAGTATTGCTAATGGGTGTTATTGATCTGTGGTGCATCTATACGTAATGCAAAGCTACTGTCTGCAGCTTGTAACTCCACAGCCTTATGCATTTTGCGTCTGCTCCCATCACCTATGATCTCTGCCACCCTCTCACTAGCCTCTCTCAACACTCACAGAGTCATGCCACAGGACTTGTAAATACTTAGCAGCCACGTATGGAAAAATGGAAAAAATGTAAAGCATTTTTAACAACTTGTATAGGTCCAAACCCTCTGTTCCAACCAGGAACACTTAAGACTCAAGCTTTCCTGGAGCCATTGAGAAAGTTCTGGTTTCTGAGATCACTAAAGATGTATGTGGTCTTGATAAAGCCCCAAGGTGAGGAGAGGTGTGGAAGATATTCTTCTGTGAGACACAGATAAAGGAGTAGATTTTTTACATGTGTTCTACTAGTCACAAGATCTGTCATTTTATTTCTGCAGGTGATAGAGACTGCTCCACGTCCATTAATGTTTTCCCATTCTTAATTGAGTTTCACCTGGTCAGACGGCTGCCCCCGCCCCAAAAAGACCTCTTTTTCCAACCTTCCTTGGAATCAAGCATGATCCTTAAGTCTGAACCAATAGATGAGCAACAATGGCCCACCTCTTTTGGCTTCTACCATTAAGACCACTAAGCATGGTAGGCTCCCTGTGGGAGATAAGGAGAGGTAGAGCTTCCATTCTGACCTAGAGATGGAAGCTACGTATGCAGGATGGATAGATCCACCTGTCCACTAGACCTGACCTGCTCTTCCTGACCATTCCACAAGAGAAGTGAGGAGGAATAACATTCTGAAACATTGAGCTAGGAGTGATTCTAGAGCAGCTGAGTGTGTCGCATAGATCCAAGTGCCTCACCCGATCTACATCTGTTCTGGGGTGTGCTGCTATTCTCTAGTCCCTCTGGCTTAGTCTCCTTAGCTTCCTGCTCTCCATAACCATGTAGGACTCATTTCTTTGTCCATAATTTGTCTCCTCCTCCATGGGCACCAGTGTGCAGGCTGGATACCTGAACTACAAGAGATGCACTCTACCTCCTCAGATTTGTCCAGAACCTTCTCCTTTGAAGGATCTAAGATGAGACCTACTTTTTGATTCCTGAAACCCTTCTCTTTTTCCTAGAGTCAACCCTGAGAAACACTGGGAAACTTTTCCTCTTCATCACCTTTTTTATCTATCCCAAAGAGTCAACTCTATACAACACCTGTAGTACTGCTTGTAACAGGGTGAAAGGTAAACAAAAGCGTGAGTTGGAATTCTGTCATTAATACTGCTTACTTACTTGTTTGCTTTTATTCCCAGTGGCTCAGAAAAAAATTCACATACATTTCCCCCTCATCAAAAACCATAGCCACCTTCTGCAACACCTGACTTTGATTTTGGTTTGGGTTTGGGTCCGGTTTACAGTGCTGGGATCAAACCCAGGACCTCATCCATTCTAGAAAAGTGTTCTACCACTGAGCCACAACCCCAGCAGTGGTTGGCTTCTGTGATTCCTTTTCTATGCTTTGTTTTTTCTTACCTTTGTCAGAGCAGATTTTGTGAACAACTTCATTTTTTATGCTTTTGAGAGAATCGAAATTTTGCCCAAAGTTAACCCTTTCATCGGTTCCAGCAATTTGTTGCAGTTGTGTTTTATTAGCCTCGCCAATCCCAATCGCATGAATGGTGATGTGTTCAGCCCTCAGCCTCTGAGCAGGTTCCAGAACACTGTCCTGTGACTTTCCATCAGTCAGCACAACAAGGTAACAGGGAACCTCATTTGTCCTCTCCGTCTTTCCCTTCTGTATTATCGGCAACACGAAATCTAGGGCTTTCCCAGTGAACGTCTGGCCTTTTAGTTGCTTGATGTTAAAAACAGCCTTCTTTAAGTTACTGTCATCATAGTAGCGAGAGATAGGAAATTCCACTTCATTCTCATGTGAATACTGCATGACCCCAACTCGGACTTTGTTGGGACCAATGGGAAACATGTCTATCACTGATGACATAAATACCTGGATTTGCTCAAACTGTTTCTTTTGGATGCTAGTCGAGCCATCAATGAGGAAATAAATATCAGCCTCCTTTGTATCCACACAGCCTGGAGAAAAAAAAGCATGGAGAGCGGGAAGTACATTCTTTATTAATTATACAGTCTTGAGGGGGCTTTGCACAGAGACTTGTGGGGGGGGGGACGTGGAGTCTAAAGCACAAGGTCTCTTGTGTTTGCACAGAGCCTGAACACTTCATCGGGACCTCTCTGTCCATTTTCTTCTTTGAAATTTACCACCATCTTGGGAAAGAACTGAAACACAGCAAGGCATAGGGCTCATCTAAGATCACATAGCAGGTAAACTGAAGAGGAAGGACCAGAGTTCCAGGCTTCTAAGCTACAAGTTTGCTATCTATTCTGAGCTGTGTGGTTCAGTTTGATTTGTTTTACTATTTTGTTTTGTTTTGTGACAGTATCTATAGAGCCCAGGCTAACCTTGAACTTGTGATCCTCCTGCCTCTACCTCCCAAGTACAGGGAGGCTGCTAGCCTTCTATTTTCCCTCAATAATCTCTTCTCAGAGCAACTAGTATACTGTTTTTAAAGCTAAAAATCAGATCCGGTCATTCTTCCACTTAAATTATTTTATTGCTGCATTTAGAATTTTAAATTAAAAATCAACCTTATCTTGACTTCTGCCTTTTTCTCTGACTCTAGTTCCACCAATTCCTCCCTTCATTCCATACTTTAACCACACTGGACTTTCAATTTTTTAAATGGGCTCCAGGGTCTTTGCACTTTGCCTTTGGAATAGTTTTACCCCCAAATATCCACATGTCTAATCCTTTGTCACACGCATACACCAAAGCAAATGGCAGCTTGAGGAAAAGGGCTTTACTGCCCCTCCAGCTACAACATGTGGTCCTTGGCTATGCTACTACCTAGTTTATTTTCTTTATGGAATCTTCTGGAATTTAATTCATTCATGAGCATAGCCTGTTTCCTACCACACAGTGTCACCTCCAGGAGAACAGAGATTGGCCTAGCTCTTTGCTTCTGCCTGCAAGGCCTGCCATAACACAAAAAGTCAATCATTTCTCAAAATAAAAGAACTCTCAATATTCCTGTACTGAATCTATGACAAATATTTTTAGTTCACATATCAGGCTGGCCTGAAGTTCCCTATTTAGCTGAGAATGACCTTGAACTCCTGATACTCCTCCTTTTACCTCCCAAGTACTGGGATTACAGATTTGTACCATTTATGCCCAGCTTAGTTTAACTTTCTTAACAGGCAATTGATTCTCTTTGTAGTCATACATCAAAACTGGGTAGCATATTTCCATACTGTAAGTTACTTATGCCATTAACTAGCTAAGTACATAGACTAATCTTTTAAACAAAGGACAATTCAATCATTTCAGAAGTATTTCTTTGTTGGTACCTTTTGGGCAATTCAGGACTACTGATACTATTTTAGGCCTTGATCAATTGTGCCTTAAGAAATCAAAAATAGGTACTAGAGAGATGGTTTAGTGGTTGCTCTTCCAGAGGTCACAGGTTCAGTTCCCAGCACCCACATGGCAGCTCACAACTATCTATAACTCCAGGTTCCAGGGAATCCAGCACCTTCTTCTGGCCTCCAGGGCCATTGCACAACACAGGTACACTTAACATATATGCAGGTAAAACACTCATACACACAAAATAAAAATAAAGAAATCAACAAAAAAATTTTTTAAAATACTGGAATAAGTCTGACTCTGGGAATTAAAACTACAAAAAAAAAACAATACACGAAGCTTTGAGACTAATATCTCAGTCATCTGCAAGAGACAGGTTGATCTAAGTCTACAAAACTTGAAAGTGAGCTGATATATAATCTAATGAAGAATTAAGAGTTCATCAGAAGGACAGCAGTAGTGGTTAGCAATGGTGGAGAGATGATGTAGTTGCTATGTGGTTACTCAGTCTTTTCTACACCTCTGTTGTCTCATACATTAGTCACTAGTCACTGTTGCTCTCAAAACATAAACTTGGGGGACTGGAGCTCAGCCAGTAAAGTGCTTGCTGCATAAGCATGAAGACCTGTCTTTGATCCCCAGCACCCACATTTTTTTAAAAGGTGGGCATGGCAGCACGTTAATGTAATGTAATGTAATGCAATGCAATGCAATGTAATGAAATTGCTGTAATCCCAGTACTGGGGAGGCATAGACAGGAGAACCCCTGGAGCTTTCTGGCCAACCAATCTAGCTGAATCTGGGAGCTCCATGTTCAATGAGAGACCCTGTCTCAAAAAATAAGGTGGAGAGCATCCTGACATTGACCTCTGACCTCCAAATGCATACACACATGAACATGTACATACACAAACACAAAAACCCATAAACTTAGGGGGCTGGAGAGATGGCTCAGCAGTTAGGAACACTGACTATTCTTGCAGAAGACCTGGGTTCAAATCCCAGCACCCACATGGCAGCTAACAACTGTCTGTAACTCCAGCTCCAGGGATCCAACAGTCTCTTCTGACCTCACATGCATACACATAGAGAAACATAAATAAAAATACTTTTTTTAAAAAAAGAAACCACACATGGAGCAGCATTTGCTGTTAGTGTCAGGCTTGATGAAGTTTTCAATAATTTACTTTCATCCTCCAAGATTTAGCTGCTTATTTCTTGGGCCAAAGAAGACCAGAAAGGGAAGGTGTTGAAAATATCACCCTGCACCCTTCAAGAACTTGGTGAAGGCACTGCAAGTGAAAGCAGCCTTCTGTCCTCAGGTCAGGGATTCTGCCAATTGCTGTGTGTCCATTCCAGTTACAGTCACTGTAGAACTTCGGAGATAACAACGCTGAACCCACTGTAAGATGGACAGATGCTAAAACTCCACTGACCACCTCACTCCCACAAACCCATACTTTCCCTTCTGGACCACAGTTGCTGTGGTACACTTACCTACATGCAGGCAATACACGCATACACATAAAACAGAAAAAAATAAATAAATATTAAAAAAATAAACTTAAAAACACTTTAAAATTAAATAAAATAAGCTGGGTGTGGTGGTGCACACCTCACTTGGGAGGCAGAAGCAGGTGGATCTCTGAGAGATGGATGCCAGCCTGGTCTATATAGCCTGGTCTACATAGCAAGTTCCAGGTCAGCTGAAGAGACCCTGTTAAAAATAAATAAATAAATAAATAAATAAATAAATAAATAATTAAATAATAAATAAATAAATAAATAAATAAATAAATAAATAAAATGAGGGTCAGCAAGATAGGTCAGTGGATAAAAGCGATTGTTGTGCAAGTTTAATGACCTGAGTTCAATCCCTGTAACCCATGGTGGAAGGGTAGAACTGACTCTTAAAAGTTGTCTTCTGGAGCCGGGCGTGGTGGCGCACACCTTTATTCCCAGAACTCAGGAGACAGAGGCAGGTGGATCAATGTGTGTTCAAGGCCAGCCTGGTCTACATAGTGAGTTCCAGGACAGCTGGGGCTACAGGGAGACCCTGTCTCAAAAAGACCCAAGAAAGAAAAAAAAGTTGTCTTTTGACTTCTGACTTCTGACTTCATTTGATTGGACTGAAGATGAATGTGTCCCCTGGCTTCAGGCCTCACATGTTCAGCTAAACATATAAATAAATAGACTGGACAGCTTCCTGGAGCCAGCAGCTTGCACCCTGACTCCCCCAGCCTCATTCACCCTCCCAGCTCCCACACCCCATCTCTCCTCCTAGCAGGGGCACTGGCCCATCTCTTGTTGTGACCCCCCCAGACCCATGGACTGACCTCTTAGCCCACAATCCCCACTGCTTTCTGACCCTTTGCATCCCAATTACTCCCTGAAGTCCCCAGGAGCCCTCTGGCCTCTTCTCATCCCCACCTCCTTTTGTATGGGACGGTGGGGGGCACATCTTTCCTGGCCCTGCTCCCAGGCTAGCTCAGCCCTCAAATTCCTGAGGCCAGCATCTTTCCTGGGGGGGGGGGGGGGGGAGGATCCAGACCTTAGGAGAAAGCCTGAGAGCATCTGATCCTCATCCAACTTGGGCCTCTGTAGGAACTCCTGAGCAGCAAGACAAAAGCAATTTGGCCCCTCCAATATAAAATCAAAAGAGAGAACCTGAATCCTAGACCGACTAGCTTTCATGCCTAACAAGTAAACCACAAAGGCACACAAAGTTTACAAAAAGAAGCAGATCAAAACTCAACAAAGGAAGGCTTGAGTCTCATACAAGAAACAGAATCCACATGTCAAAGCCACAGAGAAAAAATAACATGAAAAATCAAATTAATATATCCCCACCAAGTACCATCAGTTCTCTAGAGGAGCACAATGAGAACCCCCTAGAGATAACACAGGACATGGAACTCAAAAGAACAATTATAAACATTATAAATTAATTCAGTGAATTTAAAGAACACACAAAGAAAGAAATCAAAGAATTGAAAGAAGATAAGTATAAACTTCTGAATGAATTAAAAAAAGAATTAGAAATATTGAAGAATGCTCAGGCTGAAATGAAGAAGGAAGTGAAACACTCAGTGAGCCAATTAGAAATGACAGAAGAAAGCCTTACCAATAGGATGAATGAAATGCAAAACAGAATATCAAGACTGGAAGATAAA